AGGAGCCATTTGAAGAAACTAAAAGCATTTGTCAATAGAATATTGTCATTCTACAGTACATAAAAACTGGCTCAGAGTGAGTGATCTGGAGAAAAAATAAGATCAATGTTCTTTGATCTTATCTCTCTTGAAAGTGGGTATGAACTGAAGTGGGGATAAAGAGAAGTCATGAGTTAGCAGAGTCCATTGCCTCCACCTTCTATTGAAGCCAGTTTGGTTTAACCTTCTACAGTTTCATCCTCCCTCGATGTCAAATCATTCAGTGAACAGTTGGGCCTTCTGTCAAGATCTGTGATAGTGATTAGGACAAATAAACTTGGGGAACATGATAGGAAGAAAATTTGCAGCAAAGGTCCTAGAATACAAAAGATAGAAAATACAAACCCCATTGGAACTCATGGTAACATGAAGTATACTGAAAAGAGGGGCAGGAAGCTAATCTCAGTGGTGATCTGTGAAAGTATTTTTGCTGGGATACGTAGGACTGACTCAGGGAAATTACAACATTCCTGAAGATGGATGCTGCTCCTTGCTAGAGCTTAAAGGTGCAGCCTTGAGTTTATTGTGTCAGTAATTGATCAGGGGTGTCTTCTTGCTTGGACTTGAGTAGATTGTCTGTAAAGCAAAATTGATCCTCTTGTCTGCATTACCCTGTGATTCCCGAAGACTTGCCATGATGCCAAGTTCATACCTGCTGCAACTTGCCGTACATCAGTGAATGTGTTGATGAACCAGGGAAGAATCGAGTCTGTCCCTTCTTTTTTTCTCTGTGCACCCCCAGTAAAGGTACAACCTTTAAAAAAACAAGATGACAAACTCTAGGTCCCAAGCTACAGAATTGCTGTAAGGGCCCCAGCAAACAAGAGGTAGATACAAAATCTGAAGTAAAGAATAAAGAAGTTGCAGAGGGTGGGTTGAAAACCAGGACAGCAGCAAGGACAAATTCTTCTCTGTGTGTCTCAGGAAAGCTCCCCTATGAGCAAATTCTTTGAATAACTGCATCAGTCACCTTCAGGTGAGCTTTGCATAGATAATCCAGAGCTTTTTGTTACATGCTGGAAGAATCTGTGGTACCTATGAGGAGCAGGAAACCGAAGTATGCATAACTGATCAGTGCCAGG